GCCTCTTGAGGTAGATCTATGGAGACAGATCTCACCTGATCCAGGTCGAGCTAAAGTCCAGTGAGTATGCAATCCTGGCCCATATATTTGGATAATTTAGGCTCCTAGGTCCTCCTTCAGTCTTGAACCTCTTTCTACTGTTTTTAAATTACAAATGAATGTATCATTTTCTCAAAAGAGGAAGTATCTACAAAAGTTTTTGCTGTTAACATAGGTAAATCGAAGTATAAAACTGATCTACAGAACTATGTAAATGATTTAAAAATATTATAATCAAAATGTGACATTTTATTTCCTCCGTATTTCTTTAAAATTTAAAACAATTGCTTCAATATTTCAGTTTTTCCGGGCAGGAATAGTTACATTTATGTCTTTTTAAAATAATCTCTGTCCATCATACGATATTGATCCCTGAACAAAGGCTAAAATCCTAGGAATCAGAATATTTGCAAGCTTTCATAGATGTGAAACAGATTCCGATCATGGTCCTGTTACCAAAAGTAGAAGACAATGCTAATTTCTTGGACACAGATGGATTCCTTACAGGATATTATGAGTAATTTTTTGCTTTGTAGAATCTCTTCACTTTTCTTTCTTAAATTATTTTTATTATTCATTTTTTCTTCTCTTAGAAGGAAATAATTTAGTAAATTAAACATAGTAAATAATAAAGAAGACCCAGGAGTTGTTTTCAAAGTGACTCCAAATAACATTACCCGTTTTTCCAGCAAATATGTTGCCAAATCCCCAATTGCTTCTATTGATGTATTGCTCAAAATAGCAAAAGCCACACTTCAGAGCAAAAAGTGACGAATAAATGTGATTCCCATTAGCGCCAATACAGTTTTGAGTGTGAGTGTGTGTGTGTATGTAGCTTTGCTGTGATAAGAAAAAAAAACATTCTGTGGATTTAAAATATTTTAAATTAATAAGCAGACTAGTTGCCATAATTTTTTTAAAATCATGTGTATTTGGGTGTATTCAAGTACTTATCCAACTTAGCTAAAATTATACTTTTGCAAATCGAAAGTGGAATTTCTCTTGGTTTTGCATTTACTGCATAATAACTTAGAGTAAAACCTCCTGTGGTGGAGACATCGTCTTCCAGTCCAAACACGACCCAGTGGTTCCACTTGACCAGGCTTTCAGAGGAGCCCAAGGAGGTCAGACCCTCTCCATTGACACTAATGGACCATTTTATGCAAAACTGTTCATTTTCCGGAAAGGACCATGTCTGACTGGTGGAGTGATTCACAAAAATCACTTCATTAAACAAATGCTCTTCATGCATGGTCTTATTCCCTTTAGTGGGTGGAAACTGAGCCACACACATGGGAACCCGAAGGGGGAGTTCAGCAACGTGGATCCAAACTCAGGTTTCAGTTCCTGCGTTCAGACAATGACATCCTGGGGCTGCACACAGGCTACGGCAAACCTTGTGACTCCATTTGTCCCTGGTACGCCCACTGCCATGAAAGTAAGCACTGCATACAGCATTAGGGAAGCCACTCCCACAGGAGAGCCCCAACAGCCCCCAGTCTCACACCCGCCCCAATTTTATTCTTTCACCAAATGTTGCTGTTTGCGACAGGTGTGGCCAGTGGGGCCTCGAGTTTGACTCCTCCTGGATAGGCTCGTGAGAACGCCATTCCTTGGAAACCTGGGCAACCATCGCAAGCTGAATATGCTCTCTCCTACTGAAAGAACTCTTGCTCCCAGAAATTCTCTCACACTCGCCAACAACATGGCAATTCTAAAGACATGAACATTTCAGAGGAGGAAGGAGCTTCACTTGGAAAAAGAGAAGGAACAGGGACTATTGAGGTTTGGAAGACAGAACAGAAGAGGATGACAAGCTGAGATGTTGGTTAGAGCTGGGAGATCCTGGTACAATTTATCTAAAACTTTTGAAGCTACATATGAACAAAATTATCTTTATTCTTGGGTCACTCTGTTCTCCAGAAGTTGCCTTGTTTAGAAGAAGTCAGTTCTTCTAGCTGCAAAATTTCACAGCTTTTCATTTGTCTGAATGGTGATTCTGCTTCTCTCATCAGGAAATTTCTCTAATATTACTTTTCAACTTCTGTACTGGGTTTGGTAATACTGGATTTCACTTAATGTTCAGAGTTTAAACCCTTTGACTTTTCTAAATACTAAAAATGAATTCTTTGCCTTTAAGAGTGCCATGGCCAGTGGTCTGTGAAAGGTCCGTTTTGCTTTGCACAGCCCAGGACTGCGCTGAGCTCAGCTGCACCAGGCTAATTTCCATAAGCATCATGTGGTGTTACAGAAACCACATTTTGCCAAGCTGTCAACTATACAGACTTCTCTTTGCTAAACAGACTCCCATTAAAACTGTCTGCACAATTTGTCAGTTAAATGAGGTACAAGAGGGACGCTCTATTTGCCCCTAATTAGCTGCGCAGACTACCTTTGTCTGTTTGATTAAGCATTCACATTATCAATTTTGTTTAATCTGATTCATTTCACACACCTCCCCTGGGACAAAGCCCATACGGTTAACTAATCTCTGATATCATCTCTCATATCAGGCAGCTATCATCTCCCCAGAATACATTCTACCCACAGGCACCGTGATCATCAAGCTCCACAGAGGGGAGTTGTTCTGGCGAGGGGCAGAAGTGTAGCTCAGGACCTGGAGCTGAAGTGACATACTTAACTTAAAGCATAAAGCAGATTCTTCCTTAGCGCCATCTGTCCACCATCATCCATTCATTCATTTATTCATATTCACTAATTCATTCACTCAGGCAGTAAACATATTGTCTGCCTACTATGCACCAGGAGCTGTGCTGGAAGCTTAGAGGGATACAAAGATGTATAAGATAAGGCTCTGCTCTCAGATTGCTTATTTTCTCAGCCCAGGGAGTACTGTGGAAACTGTCGACCAGCATGGACAGCACACTTTTTCCCTGAGGCCAGTTCTACCATATCTGTCATGCATGGCCTATTTGGCTCAGCTATGAAACAATTCACCAAAGAAAAATTTCGGAAAAAGGCATAAAAGCAAGTGGTCATGGCTTCCTGAAGTAATCTCTCCTCCCACTCCCATTTGGAAAAATAGTTGGCAATGGGGAAAGAAGAGGTTTAGGAATTAGAATTAACAAATCACTTGATCATAAACAGTTCATAAATCTCGTTGCATCTAATAACTTCATTGAAGTTATTGCTTAGTGAAACCAAACTAATTACATTCAACCTGACATCTTTGGTGGACTGACAAGAAAAAACAAATATTAAATGTTAGTAAAGAACAAATGAAAATTTTGAGAGAAAAAGCGATTGGCGTAATTTAGTGGGAACTATTCTGGGAATGGGAGTAGTTGGAAAATACATAGGTATTCCTCGTTCATGAAATATTCGTTTCCTGAAAAACTATGCCAAAACTTTATGCTGATTAAGATTGCAATCTCAGACACATATTCTACCTGAAAGTTTTTGGATGCTGGCACTTGATAAGCTCTTGAAAATGAATTTTGGAACCTCAAAGTTGGAAGTGGAAGGCCTTACAGGTTTATTCAGTGCAATCCTTTATTTTGTCTGGGAATCTCCTGGATAACATTCCTAGGTAAGGGAATTGTTGAATTCTGCATAAGTGGCTCCACAATTGAGTTCTGCTGTCCTACACAGCTGCCCTTCCCAGTCAATCAGTTTGGAATAGCAGAAATATACTCATTAGTTGAGCTGAAATCTGCCCCTATGAAACTCCAACTAACTATAGTGAGCGGGGCCATGCGGGGGAGTTGATCCCTTCTTCATGATTTTGAAGACAGCTTTTATTCTCCCTACAATACTTTCTCCAAGCACAATACTTTCATTTCTTTCAGTAGTTCTTCTGGTGGTTTCTAGTCCTTCTACCTTCTCCCCTCTTTTTCTTCCAAATAGTCTTTTGTTGGTTACCCTTCCTCTCGAAGTCCAATCCCCAGAAATGAGAATTGTCTCTGAGAACATCTGACTTGTCAATTGAAGAGGGAATCTTCCTGATGCTGGACCACATATGGTCAAATCACATAGTCAAATTCTACAGATTTAATCTAAGAACATGTTGGCTCTTTCAACAACCTCATTGTTTTCTGTATTCATATTGTCCTTAAACCCTTAGAGTATTTTTTTTTTACATGTTGCTTTTATTCAGGTCTCATTACTCTGGATTTGCCCTGTTACTGAATTTTGTTAATCCCTATTACGTATTATCTTGTTCGCATCAGTTTATCATTTTGGTTTGTGGGCTGAGATCTAATTCTGCTCTCTCAACTTTGTGTTGTCTCCCAACTTGACAAGCATGCTGTCACTGTTTTATCCAAGTTATTGATTAAAAAAGACAAGAATAAAAGTGAGTAACAGAAAGTCACTGAGGTTTCTAGAATAATAAAAACAACTACTAGGAACATGCTGGACAGTTATATATGCCAGACACTACACTAAGTACTTTACATGTCTTCTCTCATTTAGTATTCATAAAACTCTATTTTGTATCATTAGCATCAAATTAGAGATGAAAACATTGAGTCTAAGAGCCTAACAAAATGACTTGTCCTTAAGAATTAAATTAATAATTATGTGGAGCTAGAATTTTAACTCAAGAATGACTGTTTCCTGAGCCCAACTTATCAAGCACTTTACTGTATTCACCACTTTGTATCTCTAAGGGAAAAAAAATTAGACCATAGGTGAGGACAACAACAAAACTGAGAAAGTAAAATTTCATAAATTTTGCCATTGAACTCATATTTATTAGTTTACCACATATTTCTTTCAGGTATAAATGGTTGAGTTTATCATACTCCTCTATTCGAATCATATTATCACTTTCATGTTTTATTTATTCTTTTAATTCCATTTTCTACTTCCATTCACCTCCCCCAACAGGAAGCCTTGCTAATGAGTTCATCTGTAAACTTGAATCAGTATTTATCCTTGGAGAATATGTAGTGTTATTGTTTTGACTGTATTTATTTACATAAGATACATTGGGCTGTGCTCTTGTTTCTCTTCAGAGCGAATAAATCTTTTGCCTTTTACTAAAAGATTTCTGTGGAGAGCAACACTGGAAAATTAATTAAATTTTTGAGTCTTCTTCTGGTAATACATACATAAATACATACATACATACATACATACATACATACATACATTGGGCTAGAGATCTCATTCTGTTTCTTATTTTTCTTCCTGAGTACTATATTTTCAAAATCTATATATGTTGTTGGGCATACATCCTGTTCATTACCTATAACTGCTACATAGTATCCCATGGTGAGCATCTGCCATATCTTATTTGTTCATTCTTCCAGTAATAGCTCTCTACATAGCCTCCAACTCTCTGCTGTCACAAACAAAGCCAGGGAACATCTTGGTACATGACCCTTATCTTGAGTGAGAATTTTTCTAGATTATAAACCAGGAGTGGAGGTTCTAGGGCATTAATAGATGAGCCCTCAATGGTCCCATTAATAGGACATAGGATTTCTGTTTCCCTGCATATCCTATTTAGTATTTTAAACCCATTTTTCTACTTGGTTTCTTATTTCCAGATGAGTGGCAGGAATTCTTTGCATAAAAACATATTTATTATTTTTTCTTATTATTTTCTGGTTATTTTTCTTAATTCATATCTATTTTCATATAGTGAATGAAGACAACTCTTCAAAAGATTCCAATCATCATTTTTATGGCATGACCTTTAAATCTATGACCATCCCTTAGCTCTCTACCAGGATAGCCCTTAGGCCCTGAAACTCAGTGTCCCCTATTCATTATTTCTGCCCTATTATCCATCCCCCTGCATTCTGAGTATGTGAATTAATGACATTGCCATCTATCCAGTTGTCCAAACAAGAAATGTCATCAATTTCCTTGGCAAATATTTTTTCTTTATTCAGCACAATCAGTCACATCATGTCAATCCTATCTCAGAAATGTATCTCTTACTTCTTATCTCACCTCACTTTCCATTAGCCTATACCAATGGTCATTACCCACTGTCTCAGCTCTCAAATGAGCTTTCAAACCGGTCTGTCTCCAAAATCCCCTTACTTCACATCATCCCTAAACCGCCACCAAAGTTCAATGAAAAAACAAATGTGGGAGTTTCACTTTGGGAAGATGAATCAGTTCTGAGAATGAATGGTGGCGACAAGAGCACAACAATATGAATGTATTTAACACTAAATTGTCACTTTAAAAAGTTAAAATGGTAAAGTTCATGTTATGCACATTTTACCACTACAAAAAAGTATATAGCCATGTCATCCCCAAGCTTACCAACCCCTTTGTCCTATAATATCCTTCAAACTGGTATGTCATTCTTTGAAAACTCCTGTTACTAAAGGCTAACAAATTGTCTAAAGAAGTCTTTGTTAATTTATATTTCATTTGGGAAGGGAAACACATCAAGTGATTTTCTCAAGGCCAAATTAGCCTACAGATAACAGAAATGGGTGTTTGTTTGGAAAGTTAAAGGATATCTATAGTATAGGGCAACTTATGAGAGAGGAACGGGTCCAAGGGAGAGACTATGATAAAGAATTTTGGGAAACCGGCACTATAAGTCAGTGTTGAGTGCTTGATGGAAAAGTGAATAAAGGAAGAGGGGGAAATTGAAAGACAGGATAACTCTTTGACTCTTCTTCATAGATTAATACTACATATTTACTTATAAAATAATCATAAAAATATCTTATTGATTCTTATGCTTGGTACAGACTCAACTCATTATATTGTAAATTATTCCCTTGATGCTTGAATATCTGGAGACCTGAAGACATGATCTTTCCCCTGAGCAACTGATCCAAAAGAGCTGTTTTCCTTCTTTCTAGGATGGTGGGTTTTTTCTTTCAGTGTAAAAAAAGTCTTTCTATTATCTTCTGGCTTGAAGTCTTTCCATTCAATATTTTCTGACTTCTAGAGTTCTGCTAATGATTTTACCTTGCATCATTGAAGGTAATGCCTTTTTATTCTCTGGCTGTTTCCAAGATTTTCTCTTTGATTATGATATACTGGTGTGTGGTTTTCTTTGAAGTCATTGTGCTTGGTGTTCATTAAACTTTTCTAAATACATCAGTTTTTGAAACTGCTCAGCCATTTTTCTTCAACTACAGCTTTGGTACAATTCTCTCTCTTCTATATTGGCACTTCAATTACATGTATTAGATGTTTTTAGCATCTTTTATATTCTATTTTGTTTTATTAATTTTTTTCCTTTCTATGCTTCAGTTGAATAATGATTGTTGTCTATCTTCTAGTTCTTTCTGATCTCAGCTTTCTCTGGTCTCCTGTGAAACCCACACATGAGAACGTAATTATAGATACTATATTTTAAATTTTGAAATGTTCGATTTTTAATATATTTCAATTTTCTGTTGAAATCCTTCAACTTTTACTTAATTTGTCCATATTTTACTCTATCATCTTTAACATATTAATCATAGATATTTTTAGTCCTTTTCTGCTAACTCCAGTATCTTGATCATGTCTGTGCTTCTATTGGTTATTTTATTTCTTAATTAATGGTAAAATTTTATTTTTCTTTAGATTGTTATACTTTTTAAATTACATTCTAGGTAATTTGGGTGATACATTGTGGAGACATTAGATTATTTTATCTTCCTCTAAAGAGTATTAAGTTTCTTTTTTTCTGACAGGCAATTAAGTTATTGTTTATCACCTTGACTTGCTATACCTTGTTGTTAGGCTTTATTAGGATGAGTCTATTTTTGTTTTGCTCTCTTTCCTAGGGTGTAGCACTTACTCTTAGTGGTGAGTGTTTACCTAGGACTCTCTCTTCTGACTGATACATCTCCCTGCAACTCCAAAGCACCTAAATTTTTTTGCAAAGCACTCCAGCCTCTCTTAGTTATACTCTGCTAAGTCTCCTAGAGTCTTACTCTGGGCATGTGAGCTTAACAGTCAGCCAAAGAAGATTTTTAATGCATGTTCTGGAACTCCTCATCTGCAGCTCCCTCCCCTAAGGTATTCTGGCCCTAAATCCCAGCAGCCTTGGCAACCCTGAATTCTGCTCTCTGTTTCCTCCATCCAGTGAGGCTGTCACTCTCTACTTGGCCTCTGTTACCTGCGTCACAATTTGGAAAATACTTTTATGGAGAAAGTCAGGGTGAACTGTAGGCTCACCTCCAATGTTTTCTTTCTCAAAGATTGAAGCCCTGAGTTAGCTGCTGCCCTGAGTTAGTTGCTGCCTGGTGCTTACAATCTATTTAAAAGAATTTTGAAATAATTTGTATTATCTTTAAGAAAATGTAACACTATAATGATAATTGACTATGATCAAGTAGCGACTATTACCAAAATGCAGATGTGTTTAGCATTAGAACATCTATAATGTATTATTTACAATATGAAAACTTAAAGAAATACAATATGATTATTTCCATTGGTGCGGGAAAAATCATTTGATAAAATTTAATATCTATTCATAGGTTTTTAAAAAACAGTATTTTTATAGATAGTGAAATATTTGAAACATTTAAAATTGGCAATAAGACAATATCTGATATCACCATTTCCATTCAATGTTGAATCCAAGGTTACATAGACAGCATAAGAAAAAAATTTTAAAAGTAAAGAAAATTTTAAATTGTCTTAATTCAAAGAATTCTATATGAATAAAATGATGTAATTCGTAGACAAATTATAAGGATTAACAGGTTAATTTAACATGGGGACTATAAGATCATTATACAAAAATCAATTCTATTTTTATAATCAAGAAAAAATAGTTATGAAATACATTTATAAACAACAATGAAGCACTTAAAATAGCATATAAAAATGATCTTTTAAAGTTATTTTATATATATTTTGTGCATAAAGATTTGGAAAAAATATCTATCAAAATTTTAATCATGGTTTTCTTTGGAATCTTTCCTGATATTTTTGCTTTCTTTTAAAGAATTTTCACTACAGACTAATTTTAATAAATAGATTAATTTTATATTCAGAACATTAAGAATACTCTATATAATCAATTTTTAAAATCACACTTTTACTTCGACTATTTAGAGCTGGAGAGTAAAATGTGAATATGTACCCAGAGGTTAATGTTAGCATCTACTAAAATAATTTGAAAAAATTCTAATTGGTGAAAAAAAAATTTGTCAGAATAATTACTTAATTTTATAAATTCAAACTATTGGTTCATTGATTTAATATTTAATTTTTAAAAGCTCTTTGAACCTCTTAGAACATTAGAGAATCATCTAGTTATCCAAAATGTTTGCTAAAATTTTTAGTAACAAACAGAAATAAACTTTTCATTCCTTGGTTGAAATGATTAAAAGAAAAGACAGGTTTAGTTAAAGTATTTAGGCCTGCAGTTGTTTAGAAAGTATGTTTTGAGATCACTTAAAGGTACCAAGTAGAGTTTTATTCCCCTATTTCTTTCTTCTCAGTGTTTCCCTAACATCTACTTGTATGTTTTAATTTTTAATTTAAGTGTTCTAAGATCTCTCATTTACCAATAAACAAACTGACTGATTTACATTTAAAACTATCATTAATTCAAAACTTGGACCTCAAGAATCACTAGATTGTTCTTCCTGGTATTAAACCTCATTGAATAAACATAACTTGGAATGCTTATAGGCAGTCAAGAACATCTGTCTTAAATTTCTAATTATAAAACTTTAAGTTAAGAAAAAAACTTTTTTTAGATCCCAAGAAAAATTTAATTTCATATGGGTACAATTTTCACCCTACTTATAAAAAATAAAATCATTGCACGTATAAAATTAAACTATTTTTTAAAAATTAAATACAAAATATTCTTTTTATTACAAGAAATATAAGTATGATTAATGTAAATGGCTCATTATAAACTTTACAGCAATGGCTTAAACTAATCTGTCCTTCATTTACATGAATAAGTTTTTTAATAGCTCTATATGCTCTGCTCTGGGAATCATTCTGACTCATTAGTTTCTTTTATTGGATGCTATTACATATCAATCAATACTTATGCTCTTGGGCATTGCCATCAGTGTTATATCAATCTAATTAGTATTCTTAAATGTAGTCATGCAAATTTAAAAGGATAACAAGTCTCAAAGATGAAAGTTTTGTTATCTTTCATAGC